ATATTTCACAGTCAGAGAATTGGTCCTCTTGTTAAGATAGTAAGTGGATCACCTCAGCATAATGCGGTGAACTTTCAAATAGTAATCGAATGCATGAATACACAGAATTCCAAGGAAGCTACGAAGTCAAAGTATGTGTATGGTATCGAATGACAGAGTATCTTTCTACAGCACGATAACTGCTGTTTACCAAGTTAAACGTGTGAGTGCTGTAAGGCTACGGCATAAAAGCCGTTAAGCTGAGAGGGTAAAAGCGGCCCTGGTGGCGTAACGGATAGCGCACTCGCCCGGAAAGCGTGAGGTGCGGGTTCGACTCCCGCCTGGGGCACGACTTTTGCCCACAACTCAGCATTCTTGCATAATCGTAAAGAGGGAGTCAGTGTACTGAAAAGGCAGGATGGCACAGTGGTGGTATCAGATAATGATAAGGCGGAAATGTTGGCCGAGGTTTTTGAAAAAGTTTATGCTAAGCAAAACGTAAGCATCGGTTCTCAACCTGTCCACGGTAGCATCACTCATATGAGGACTATTTAGCCGTCATGAAATTCTTGAAATCATCTCTAAATGGCGTAATTCTTCTTCTGCTACCCCAGATGGTATCCCATTCCTTTTCATAAAGAAGATGGCTGATGTCATTTCGGCACCACTTGAATTCCTTTTCAATTTGTTGTTTTTCCAAGCTGTTGTTCCGCGTAGCTGGCGGCATGCATATGTCATTCCAATCAGGAAGAAACCTCCACACTGTGATCCTAACAACTACAGGCCTGTTAGTATCACATCAGTGTTTTGCAGACTTTCTGAAAAAATACTCAAGAAGGTCATTATTCGTCACATAACATGTAACCAGGTCCTATCCGACCATCAACATGGTTCAGAGCAAAAAATCTACAGTAACTCTCATGTTGGAAGCAATGAATGATTGGACATCAGTATTGGATGCTAAAAAAAGTGTAGACGTCATTTATTTTGATTTCCAAAAGGCCTTTGACAAAGTCTCCCATCCCATCTTATTACATAAACTCGCGCGAATCGGGGTTCATGGAAGGATAGACAAGTGGATTGAAGAATTTCTCGCTGATCGCACCTTTCAAGTGTTGGTGAATGGTCATGCTTCCACGGTCCGACATGCTATCAGTGGGGTTCCCAAGGAAGTGTCTCCCCATTTCATTTAATATTTACACATTTGACTTAGCAGCTTCGACCAAAATCTTGGTGTAAAGATGAAAATGTTTGCGGATGACTCAAAGATCTATAGTATCGTGGGGGATTCCGCTGACTCTCAGCTCCAGAAAGCAATAGATACTATCGTGGACTGGTCCAATATCAACAGGCTTAATTTAAGTGCCGGCAAAACTAAAGTCCTTCATTTGGGAGGATCCAATCCAGGCTTATCATATTACATCAATGAAGAAGCTCTTGAGGTAGTCGAAACTATAAGAGACTTAGGCTTTCTTGTAGATTCGAAACTGACTTTCGAAGAGCACCTGACCGACCTAGTGAATAAGGCAGAACAAAGGGTCTTTTTGCTTTTCAAATCGCTCAAGTCCGAAACCCTAAGTTGCTCATTAGACTTACAAAGTTTACGTCCGTCTATCCTAGAGTACGGTACATGCGTCTATTTCCCCACAAGAAAAAATTTATTGACAAATTGGAAAGGATACAGCATAACTTCACCAGGAATTGTTTATCAGAGCTCTCGGTTTCACTTACAAAAGCATCCCTCGGGGCCTAGTAAGAAATAAAATGCTCAATTTGAACCCAATATATTTAATACTTCGGCGAAATGACATACTTATGGTTTACAATACTTTATAATATTTTGAAGGGACGTGTTAGACCGCAACTCCTACTTCAAACTAGAGGGGAAACAGTTCAAGCTTCCTTTTCGACAGCCCCGTTCTCTGGTGGGTGGGGGGAGGAAGAAATTCTTTACGTTTCTTGCAGGCACGGAGTTATTGAGGATGAGCAGACTTATGCGTTTCCCGGTTTATTTCTATAAATTTAACAAGACGGTGGGTCATTATCTTGCGGTGTTAAATAGTGTTGTCAAAGGTTTCAGTTGATGATTTTGTTGGGTTTCTTGTATTAGTTCTGAATTTCACATGTCGTTGAGCATGTAATAAATTAAATTATGTGCGCGGCCACACCCACGCTTTTCAGTTATACTGAGTGTTCAAGCAGTGTATAAATATGTGTATTCGCACGTGGACTTTCCCAAAACCCCGGTTACCAATGTTTAGGCCAGTTATGAATATCAGTAGGTAGAATAGTCGGGTATACCAACCTTGATCGTGAATCTCCCTTGAGCTATCCACAGTCCTGGTCGGAATGTGCTGCGATTACCTACCTTCGAAATCCATTTTACAATTGTACATTGTAAAGTTTAGTAGAGAATGGAAATATCCTTGAGCTAATGCGCCACAAGATTTCCTCTGAGGGTCTCGTGCTATGGGTTCGGTCATACAACTATTAGCAAGCTGCCACTCGATCAAATACGAACCTGAGACATTTGTTAACATGGCGCGGTCAGAAAGGTAGACGCAGCAACTAGTTAATATTCACATTCAAGTTACAATACCGCAAGGAAAACTTGTAACAAGCGGAAAATTTGCCGTTGGTGCATTTATTGATCTTCTCGTTACTTATCTAGCAGAGTAACTTGCAGGTATTTGCTGGCATATTTGTCCAAACTTTTCCACCTACATATTGAATACGATCTAACAATACTCTTAGAGATGCTGTTTTTGTCTGCTCCATTTTTTTCAGCCACTGTAAATCGACATACTGTAGTAATTCCAAGTTAGATCAACTAGGTCGTAGTGTGGATTAAGCGGACGTAGCACTTTGAGCAACGTCACGTTTGTTGCCCAGACGCGACAGGATCTCCAACATGACAGTACTCATCACAAAACACCTGGAGAAGATTCTACAGCTGACAATGCGGGTGACCTGATAATGTTGTAGGGGCATTAAAGGACTCACCTCTCTGTGCAAACTAGAATTACTGTAAGAATTTGCGGCCAGATCTGTAGGTGTCCAAGTTCTGCGAACGAATTCAATGTACCGTAATTCTAACCGAATTACGTTAATCCCAATTTCAACTAAAGTCTTTTAAATGCTCTCTTATAAGCTACTAGCGCTAGTATACTGAGTACGTAACTTGTGCACGTCGTGTTTCTGACACGACGTCGGAAATCTTGAGTGGAGCCATAACTCGGTGATAGTCAGATGCCCTTTTCAGAGTTCTGGGAAAAACGAATGACGGCTTGATACCGAAGTCAGGCAACCCATCTAATGACCTGCTTGACAAAGAGAAGAATACAGAATCCGGCTTAGAAAGCTGATTGCTGCAACAATGTGAAGCTGCATTTCACATTGCTTCAATGTTTGGATAAAGAGGTCAGCACGACCATGGAATGGTTTGAAGATCCCTTTCATGAGGGAAGGTTCAACCTTTTTCGCGTTCGAGGATCTGCACTTTCAAGGATTATTTTTATAGTCTATGTGCGAGCCCCTACAAAATGTAGAAAAGCGTTTAGAAGAGTGGGGTATGCTAGAAATGATCTGTGCTCGCAAAATTTTGAAGGGAAGGCGTTTAAGCGCCACCTACTAGTGTGCGCTTGGGGTACGGCACCTGCGAGAAAAGTTAGCAATAAAAGAAAATTCGGCACTAGTGAACAATTCCTACCACGAAAACACGAAAAAATATCCTCCTGAAACACTTTCCGTAGATGTAATACGATGCCCCAATCACGAATATAACATTCATTTTTGACGCTGACACCATTTGGCGCCATTAGGCACCAACTTTTCTCACGAAATTCGATGAAAACTTATATACGGGGATAAGTGAAATGCTGATCACGAATACGGCATTTACTTTTGGCGCTGGCACCAATTGGCGCCACTAAGCACCATTTGGCACCGAACCGTTTCCCCCAAAATCGACAAAAACTTGCCTAATAGGGATGTTTGTTGCCAAAATTTATTTCTCGACACCAGCGCCATTTAGCCTTCTGCTAAGGCCGAACCTGGGAGGAGTGAGTCGCTTACAGGCTAGGCTCATCCTTAGCAGAGCGCAAGATGATCATAGTGTCCTACATACATTAGCGCTGGCGCCAGGAATAAATATCATATTCGTAATCAGGATGTCAAAAAACCCAGTATATAAGTTTTCATCGACTTTGGTGACTTAGGGTGTTTTGGCGCCGGCGCCGGTGCTGCGAGCGCCAGGCGTTTTCGGCTCAGGCGAATGTGATATTCATATTCAGGAGGTCAAACTACCCCTAGACACAAGTTTTGGCGAAACTGGTGAATTAGGTATTCTGGCGCCAGCGCCTGTGGCGCGGGTGCCAGGCAGTTTTGGGTAAGCGGATGTGAGATTCGTGTTTAGGAGGTGGTAGTACCCCACTGTGCAATTTTTCAGCCAAATTCGTGGAAAAAAAGTGGGTAAAAGACCGGCCTGATTTCGGAAAACTGGGGTAGGAATAGTGCAACAGTTCAGAAAACCCTTGCAGTCGAATGCAACTGTAATCCTATCACATCGACCAAATAATGCCAAATGGAAGTTCCAGGACGACTGTGTGCCCTGCTGGTGAGGTAGAATGATGAAGCTCGGCAAGCGGAAAGTTCTCCCACGTCCCCTGAAGTGATTCCCATCTATATAAAACCATACAGATCAAGAGCTGTCCCTATGACATCAGTTTTGTTCTATTCTGGTGCCGCTTCCTGTACGTACTCTGTTATCTCAAGAGGAGCTCAATATGTGCATAATCCATGTACAGGGGGGGGGGCAAAAAAAGACTTTTTTCTTCCTTGACTTTCGAGGCGTTATAAGTTACACTTTATTAAATTCTTATCGGACATTTTACCACCATATTAAAGAGCATATCAAATACTATTATGATACTCCGCCACAGCCTTCTGGAGGAGCGCCATCGAGAGATTCTGCCACGCGACCGTGAGTGGGTGCCTGAGATCAGCGAGATAGTCGATTTCTCCGCCACCGTAGACCACCCTATTGAACTCCGCCCGAACCAGGTAATTGAGGGGGTTTGGGTCAGATGACCTGCTTGAATATTCCACCTTCCTCAGGTACTCAACGCCCCTCCATTCCAAGTAGGCGAGTGTTTCTCCAACGCCCTTCGATTTCATGTGGTGGCACTCAATGCTGTAGCAGTACAAAGTTTCCAAGAAGGTACGGGCGACGACATGTGGGGAGGATATTCTTCTCGAGTTGCTCGATGTAACCGCCAGTGCTCACCTTCAGTCCGGGGCCCGCGAAGAAAATATCGGTCTCTCCATTCCAGGTACGTCCGGTCCCACCATCAACTGGCGCCTTGGCGACTGGGGTGAAGATGATGTCCTAGACCGTAGCGACGTTGACGGAGCTGCTCGATGATGGAGGTCTTCCAGATCGAGAGTACTGGTCTCCAGGTAGCTATCCATGGTGACTCCATACTAGAAGTTTCGCAGCTGTTTAGAGGTGAACCATGATGTTTCGGCGCGATAGACTTCCTCGCAAAACAGTCAGCGTTGCGGGCTGGAGATGACTTCAATATTTTATCTGTACATGGAAGGCGATGGGCCAGCGCACAGCTCGCCTGCTTATAGAGAGCAGCTCTTGGTATCCGGTGCGGGCGCGCCCTGGTACTCGTATCCCACTTTCTCTGTCTGGGCTGCGAAAACTTTCCTGATATGTGACTCGGTCGACATGTCTTTTTTTTGGCCCCGCCCCCTGTACACAGATGATATCATAGTAAGGATAAAGTTTCGGGCGCCTGCGATCACTCTGGAATGTTCCACTTCGGCTCCTTATCAGAACCGTACTAATATTTGAAAGCGGGTGGGGCCTACGAATTGCCAAAAATTGGTTTCCGTCGGTGTCCCTGTCCTGTCAGGTTGTTCCTGCCACGGTTAGTGCATATCGCCAAAGAAAAGAAGGACCTAATGAGTGATAAAGCTAAGACAATGATAAGAGGGACGGCCTCAGTGGTAGGATGAACTCGTTAGACAACGGGATCCTAATGTCCGTGGAAGAGGCATTAGAAGGACCTTATGCGGAACAGGGATTATTGTCGTCTAAACAGAAGGAATTACTGTGCTTTGAATTGATTCATCCACCCCGAAGCACCTTCGCCCCTCTCCCGTCTAGGCTTAGGTAAAGTCCTCA